ATGTCGCTATTCATTATATATTCAATTATTTTTTATGTGAAATTACTCCACTAGTTTATTAATACAAAGATCGAACGCTTAAAAAAAATCCTTCGATGCGGCTGGATTCGAATCAACGTCTGTTAGCAAACCGTGGCAGACGCTATTTCCACTAAGCAACGGAACGAGCCAGCGGAACTTACGAATATTGTGTGCTTGTTTGAGATCTTTGTTTCGGTTTTTTTAACGAATTTTTAGCCGTAGCGCCGTCTGTAAGGAATCTATTTCTTGACTCAGACAGGTTCTTTTATGGCTACCAGCTGCTGACAAGAGACCTTTAATAATTGTAATCAAGTTTGTTAAATGTCAGGATGTTTCACCAACATGATATTAAATTATTTTTGTGAATTTATACCACTATTTGGTTATAATTATTAATAGAATGATCGATAACTTAGAAAAATTTCCTTCGATCCGCCTGGATTCCAATCAACGTCTTTTAGCAAACCATGCCAGATGCTATGCCAACTAAGCCAAGGAACGAACCACAGCAATTATTTATCAAAGTTTTTTCATTTTTAAAGTGGGCACTTAAGAAGCAAAGAACGTTTAATATGTTACATATAGAGATGATCTAATTCTATTACTATCGTTCTTCAATCTCATCATTATGAATAGTAAAGAAAAATAGTAGTAAGAAATGAAATAAATCATTGCATTCTATATAAACTATGTCTTTGATATCCACAGGGTTCCCATCTGCCAACGCCACCTCCGATTCCAGAAGCCATTGTGCGCGCTCTCGAGTACATCCGTGCCCACCCCCCACCTCCAGAGAAAAAATAAACCTTTGACTAATAAACATACATAAGTAAAATGTGAAACATATTCTACTTCATATAATTCAATATGTCTGCTAACTATTGAGACAAAGATATAAAGCGAACTAACGCTACCACGCTCAGAAACGTCAAAGTAACGTCAATTGTCTAACCGTCGTAACTAGCATAAGCAACTGTTTTCAGAGGAAAGTATTTTCAGTCTACCATTTCACATCTTGAACTGAAGCTCTTGTCAAACTCGAGATCATCAACGCTTTATATTCATATGCAAGAAAAGTAGACATACTGATGGTGGCAAATATTTGCTTTTGAAACCTTATTAAGATAGTACGTCTTGCTCAGTTATAACAATGACAGATACGCTAGTTAGAAAGCTGAGAGACGACTTCAAAGATTAAACAATAGTTTCGTAGACATTATATTTAAAAATCAATTAATTTTAATAGGAAATGAAACTATCTTTCCGGTTTTAAGTCGCGTAGATTTGTTTTTTCAAACAAACCGACGATTTGACTCAACGGTTGAAGACACCCGTGACCATGGGACCTGTAAAGGGCCCGAAACGTCGGTTTGTTTGAAAAAAACCAATATACGCGATTTAAATCCGGAAAAATAGTTTCATTTCCTATGTGTAACAATCGCGAAAACCTAAGAAATTAATTTTAACTTAATTGTCAATATTTTTTTTATCTATTTTCGTATATCTTTTTCTAAACGATTTACGCTATGTTAGTTTCATTGTCTTGAGACAAAAGTTTCACATTTTCATTAAGCTTTGTGTTCAATTAACTATAAACATATACTCAATAATTAGTATAGTTTAATGTAATTCAATAATTGCATTGTAAATTTGCTTAATTGTTAAGACGATGTTCAAATTAATAACATTTGTTTGTTCTACGTTAATTTTATTTACGCCTCTTGCTCTGCAGTGGGACGTACACAAGATCATACTGTGCCTATTTCCACTACTGGTCATCTATAAAGATATTGAACCCAATGCGGATTATGTTTCCCTTCTACGTTAATCTCGGAGTTTAAAAAGTTGATTATTTACCTTTATACGGTGCCTATATCCACTACTAGTCACGTATCTTTTTTATGAAGATATTGCACTCCACGCGAATTAAGTTCCTGTATACCTTGTCCGAGGAAAAAGCTTTATCTTCACAGCTAATCTGAGAGTTAAAAACGCTGATAAGTTATTTATAAACAGCTAAGTCAGGTCTAATCAGATTTCAAAATGCATCTACCTACATAGATGACTTAGGTGATGTAGACTCTGCATTTGATTGATCAGGACCATAGATTTAGTATATAGGTACCCATAGATTGGCAATGCAAGTGAAAGAGCGTTAGTATACACGTATGTCAGAGCGAGATAGGTAGACGAGACCACTTTATTATACGCTATGAGCCTGTATGAACCTAGGGTCAGCTGACAACGAAACAAATTTCGTTTATTTTTGAAAAATAAGTGGTTTTAAAATGTGAAATAGTGTTAAACGGACGTTTATTAGTCATGGTAACGTGTTCAGTGCCCGGATGTAACTCATCTAAAAAGGAAAACTCGCAGAATTGTACATTTCACATGTTAGTACTATTTAAATTTTTAGCTGTCTAAAAGCACTAACACAAAAGTTTTTTCATGAACATATCCGAAAAATTACACCATTCAAGTGCAATCCAAATGTATACAAATTCAATTAAAAAATATATCAAATACGTGAATTTCTGAAATTCATAACCCCACTTTCATAGAGATTGACGCAGTCGATAATATGTTATCGAGATGTCATTAACTGAACACAAGAAAGGCCAAGGCGTGGCTTGCATACAGCCGAAATCATTTTCATACTTAATATTATTGAATCAGAAATTTCTGGTTTTAGTACTTTATATTTAATTAATATTGCATTTGTGCATTATTTTTTGTCTACATTAAAACGAAAATTTCTTTTAATAGCGTAGTTGAGGCACCCATTTTTTTATGTTAATTATTGTTGTTGATTCAGATTTCCTCAAAACATTGAAGTACGACAGAAATGGCTTATAATGCTAAAGAGAGAAGACTGGGTTCCCAAAAAGTTTTCAAAAATATGCAGCAAACATTTTGAGGAAAAATGCTTTTCCTTTAGAGGCAAGCAAAGAATAAAGATACGTTCTGGTTCTGTATCCACATTATTCATGCCGGTATGTCTTACAATTAATGGATTTTTGTGTAGTACTACTCTCGTCTACAACAAATCAGCGATTTGTTGTTGTTAAGAGTTCTGGTCTGTTCCGAAATACGATACTCATATAGGATCACTTGTGTCCATCTGTCCGTCTGTCACAGCCAATTTACTCCAAACCTACTGGACTGATTATTTTGAAATTTGGTACACATATGCATTTGTGTGACCAAAACGCGTAACGTAAATAAATTAATTCTGAATTTGAAGTCACTATTGGGAGAGAAAGTTCTCAAGTATATATTTTTTGTAATTTTTAAATATAAATATTTTAAGTTGTTTAAGAAAATAGACGAAAATTGATCATTCTCTTCTTTATCTTCGAAACCGCTGAGCCTAAAGTTTTGAAAAAAATACAGAAATGTTCTTTAAATCTCTTACTATTGTGCGATCATGGGTCTTATCACCGTTTTGTAGAGCCATAGTGTTATCTTGGGTGAAAGTCCCCATTGTTTACCTACCATCCTATGGCACTGCCAGAAGGTGATAGTAGCTTTCTTAATTTTGTATTGAATCATTAATTAATTAGTTAATTAACGTCTCGGCGGTTTGCGATAAACATTTTGGTGAATACGACGAAGTGAAATGCCGGTGTAATATGTTAATCGATATTAAAGTTAAATCAATGGATGGCGTAGCACTATTTATCTTGCACACATGCACATTATACGTACACAGATGTATTTTTGTTTTGGTCTCGTCTCCAATACTTCAGGGCCAATCTATGGATATACTAAATCTATGATCAGTGTCCTGCTCATTAGACATATACGTTCATTTTTATCATAACATATTTTGATTGAACCGTAGTTGCCTTGAAAACGCGGAAACGATGACCGATGTTATAGCGGTTCTATTTAATTGATTCAAAATAATCAAGTAATAAAAATTTGAAATCTTTGGAGAACTGGTATTGACCTTCGTATAGATGTATAATTTATTTGATACAGACATTTGATAGTAAATAATAAAAATAATATCGATGCTTGAAAGGCAAAATGGGATAAGCGACACTTTTGGGTCATATTGAGGTATATATAACTCATGAAGTATATAACCAGAAATAGGGAAGAAATGTCATTTAATTTGTTTGAAAACTATTCTGCCGTATCATTACGGTGACAACTGCTCTCTGATTGGCCAGCTCGAATTCGAAACAACTGACAGGTGTCGCCAATTACTTCACTTCAAATCGACCAATTTAACTTGAGCTTTGCTATAATGGACGAAATTTGAAAATTACATAAATTAATATTACCGATGAAATGTGATTTGTAATTAGATGTTTTGCTGTTTTTCCCATACCACCGAATGGAACAGCACACCCCATTATTAGAGATATTATCTTTATTACATTAAATACATAATATTTTTGGAATATACGAAGATGTACACACAGGTCAGTTGTGGGCGCTGTACTATTTCAGCTTTCTAATTTGTGATTTCAGCGCAAACGAGAGTAGATTTTTAAAAGTGATATAAGGCCCATTTGCGTGATGAGTTGCCAGGGATGGTTGCTCCTTATTTCGTCTCTATTTCTGGTTATATATTCGATACCTCATATTATTACTATATCAAACATGCTATTAGTCGGTTAATGAATATTTTGAAAATGACTCTCTTAAATAATATTGCTTCCCTTATGTAATTATTAACTTGTATTCAAATAGTATTATTAATTTGAATTTTAGATCATAAGAATTATCATTTGTCATAATCCTTACTGGGTGCCAGTTACATATTAAATGTAACGTGTCTACCAATGCAAAAAAATAGTTAATATGATAAGAAGAAGGTAACGTAAACATGATTTTCGTCAGGTTTAAAAAAAACCATTAATATAATTGTGGAAACTAATTTAGGCTTGTATATAATACGGTGTTACAATAACGTTGTAACTAACGTCATCACAACAACGCCGTGACCGCGTCACACAATGCGGTAACCGTGTCATATAATGCTGTGACTGTGACATAACAGCGTAAACGTATCATACAACGCAGTGTCCGTGTCCACGAAACGCGATAACTGTGTCAAATAACGCTTTAACCGTATCACACAATGCGGTGACCGTGTCATATAACGCTGTGACCGTGACATAACAGCGTAAACATGTCATACAACCCAGTGTCCGTGTCCACGAAATGCGATAACCGTGTTAAATAACTCTTTAACCGTGTCACACAAAGTTATGGGGTCTAAGTCGACGCCAAAACTCTATTCTGCACTTAAAAATTAACAAGGTTTATTTGACGGCTTGTAAATCTCAATTGAAAGAAATTATTCTCCATACATCCAAATTTGGACTATACGAAGGTTCTGTGACAGTACAAATAAATAAAAAGATAATAATTTCACCTGAAAATCAACACTCTATTATAGTCCATTTCACATAGGATGGGTACTGTAACGTTTCCAATTTTTACGTTCCACGTACACATTTTTCTAAGTAATCTCTAAACCAGATCACAAATAGAAACAGTAACTTTGTTATAATGTAAAAAAAAACAAAGAATATTTGTTGCAATAGTAATGTTTAACTAAAAATTGCAATATGTTATGTAAATAGAAAATTAATTTACAAAGATAAATACAAAAGGGCCCCGATCACTTGATGCGTAAAACGGAATATTTATCTATAGAGATTGACACCATAGAATCGATAAATCAAATCGGCTATTGTACATCTCGAATCAATATGAGTGCATACACCGTGTCTTCTTTTGATTTGA